TAATAATTGTCCCCGTAAATGCCCAAACCCTACAGAACTGGTGCCTCGTGAGAGCACACTACACATGCAATGATCATACAGTACATTAGGTACTTTAAATATAGTTTATATACAGTTGTAGAAGTGATTAAAATGATGGGCTCATTTATTTTTTTACAATAAACATATCTAATGGAAGTGTGCTGTCATTTATGGTTTTGTCTCCTTTTTAAGGGAATTTCACATTATATTATAAATACCTTTTGAAGAGGTAGCCCTTGATACTTTCTTCTCTCTTCTATCTACCCACTCTGGTATAGCTGGACAAACTCCTGTTTCTTATTTTGTATTGATGACGTTGCACCTTAGCTCATAAGATGGTTAAAAACTTCAAAGTCTTTAAGCCTTCAAAGAATGCTTAATTCTTGTGCTTTCCAATTTGAAGTGCTTCAGAATTTTCTAAGTTTGCAGAAATCAAAATTGTTTTTAATAAGCTTTTATGTGGTATAAATGTATCTGTTCATAATACTGTACATTTTTTTCTGTTCGTCCTTTGGGTCTGTTCCCCCCAGCATTCACTTTCTGTCTCTCTGGATTAATAACAGCTACAGCTACATCTCTGCATTCAGCCTCTGGTGTCACTATGAAGAGCTGCCCATAAAAGCAGCTGAGATGAGAGGAAGAGTTTCTTGTCCAGCAGGCTCATCCTGTTCTGAAAAAGCACAGCGAACAGACTCGGGATCCAGGTATGTAGTGCAGAGAAGAACAAAAAAACAAATAAATATATATTTTAGGTTTGTATGTATACTTTTACTATTTTTTGTGTTGTATTTTATTTACCACATATTTTACCCATAAACTGTATGCTGTTTAAAACAGTTCACATGCTGAGTAGTATCTTATTTCATGTTTTTACACATATACAAAGGACATACTGTAAGTATAAATGGAATAGTACAAATTGATTCTGTATGTTTGTGTATATTCTTGGCTATGTTGAATATCCTAAGGATTTGCAAACTGTTATTGGTGACATTGTATTCTATCCAGCCTGCCAGGAGAGTGTCTGCTTTATAGAACTAAAATATGTAAAAAACACTAGCCTGAGAAATGTAAATACATTTGTGCAATAGAAGCCCCTTTTTTAAAAGGACACGATGTGAATTTAGAGTTAATTCTAGATAATGTAGAGGGTGTTTTTTTCTCCAATCAGTTTGCAAATCTATAGAATAGAGGTGTTGTATGATGGTTGATTTACCAGTTAAACCAACTTAACTCTAGTTGCTGAGTTATTAGGTTAACAGTTAGCAATATCAGAGACCAGTGCATGATGTTGGACTCAGATTGAAGCAAAAAATCTTGTTTACAAAGTGGGTATGAACATTATTTTGAAGGAATAAAAGACTGAACTGGGTGTTTCTGTAACTATATGTGGAATGCACATCTCTAGATTCTTTTAAGGTAAAATGAACCATGGTCTACTTTAATCCTGAATCGGCAAAAATAAAAAAAAACAGTACTTGAATGACAAATTTGACTTGAAAGTAGTGTTACTTAGTCAATTCAGAAGAAACATACAAGATAGAAATAATTTTATAAAGCAGCTTTTTCCTTGGTAAGGAATTAGAATAACATTTATCTAATTGTCTTAATCTGAATTCTTCTTGATTTCCCACGTTTAATTATAGTCTTATTTTGTCTTAATTTGTCTGCAACCTAAGTGTACAGAGCTGAATCATTGTCACAAGGATAACCTTATAAATCTAATGCTAGATCTGTAATCACTGCTGCAGTTGATGAATTCATACAGTATATTAGCAATACACTTTAAAGTCTTGTGAGGACAATATACCATATACTTATGGAAAAAAGAAACAACATTTTCTGGAATGTGAATACTATAGTTATACTGTAGCTAATGTACTTTCACAAAAAAATGACAATTTGTTTAAAACCCTCTGACCAGCAATACAACTTGTGCAGTGAGGCATTGCAACTTGCCAATCACATGAAAACACTTTTACCCAACGGGGTCCAGGTGGAACAATACCTGATCAGGTCACCTTTAAAAAGGCCTTTATTCAAAGCTTAGGTGACTGCAAGAAAAAGGTCACACTTAATTAGTTTTCTGTGTATTCCATAATGCCTCGACTGTCACCAGAAGCAAGGGAGAGGGCCATTGGCATGCTGCAGGCAGACATATCATGTGCCAGCATTGCCAGACACTATGGAGTAGGCCGCTCCACTGTGTCCCAACTGCAGAGAAGGTTTCAGCAGAGCAGTAGGACAGATAACCGTCCATGATCACACCAGAGCAGGACAGACACATCAGACTCGTCAATCTGAGAGATCGGTTCAGATCTGCCACCTGTACTGCTGCTGAAACTGCGGGCAGACACAATGCCCGCATCAGCGAGAGGACAGTGAGGCTCCATGCTGCTGGCCTTAGAGCAAGGCGACCTGTCAGAGGCCCTGTGCTCACACCTCCTAGTCGTCACACCCGACTGGCTTGGGCCAGACAGGGGCTGGGATGGACTCATCAGCAGTGGCATCAGGTCTTCTTTACAGATGTATCACTCTTCAGCCTGTTTTTGTTTTCCATCAGTATATATACTACATTATTATAACATTTAAAAACATTTGAGCTCTGTAAATTGTTTTTTACTTACCACTTATTATTCTTTCAGATTCCTTGGTTTGTATTACCGAACCAGTGTATGTGCACTCACTCCTTGATTCCTGTTTTGTACAAGTGCCTCTGAGACACTGAGCCATGAGTGACTCCAATGGAACCCTGCACTATGAATTCAGCATTGTGGGTTTTCCAGGCCTGCAGGAGCACTACATTGCACTCTTCATCTTCTTCCTGATCCTCTTCCTGGCCATCATCATGGGTAATATGCTCATCTTGGTGTTAGTTGCTCTGGACCACAGGCTCCACACACCCATGTATTTCTTCTTGTGGAACTTAAGTCTTCTAGATATTCTACTAACCAGTACTGTAATACCAAAGCTTCTAGCAGTACTTTTGCGTCATGACAACACCATCTCTTTCTCAGGTTGTTTTGTACAGATGTTATTTTTTTCATTTCATTGCCTGCTGTTGAAGGATTCCTTGTAGCAGCCATGGCTTATGACCGATATGCTGCATTAGTAAAGCCTTTACATTACAACACCATCATCAATACCAAGATCTGTATCATAATGACTGTCACAGTCTGGGGGCTGGGCTTTCTGGCTCCTCTTCCATCAACAGTATTGGCAAGTATGTTTCCATACTGTAAATCAAACCTTATCCTACACATGGTCTGTGATTACTCCACTGTAATGGCATTAGCCTGCGGTGACATTACAGCTCAAGTCAATTTAACCCTTTTAATTGCCATGTTTGCAATTTATGTCCCATTTCTCTATGTCTTATGGACATACTGCAGAATTATAGCATCAGTAATGAAATTGAAAACTATGGAGAGCCGTAAGAAGGCCTTCTCAATGTGCTCTTCGCATGTGATGGTGGTATTGCTTTACTATGTGTCTGCTGCTGTGGTGTATATTGGTTTGAGAGTGGAAAATATCCACCCAGAAGGACGCATTTTTATTGGCACTGTGTACAATTTCCTAACTCCTTTGCTCAACCCCATCATTTATAGCTTAAGGAATGAAAAAATAAAGGCAGCAACTAATCGATACTTTAGATTCCAGGCTCTCCACAGTGTAAAGAATACTGTCAGCATACAGTAGGTCAATAGTTTACAGTATGGGAAATGGCTATGCTCACTTCTCATAGGAACAAAGTTAATTTGTCCATAAATTAAATACTGTATGAAACTATACTTATATGATGGAGCTTGTTCACAAAATTGTTTATCTATATTTTCAAATCTGTTTTTTATGACTCACATATAAGGTTTTAGCAAATAGACACAATACTGTCAACATAAGGTAGGTCAATAGGTTACAGTATCAGCAAAGTCAAACCTCAGTCCCTAATAGAAATCAAGAAATATGGTCATATTATATGACACTTAGGAGGTCTTTCACAAAATTGTTTTATCTATGTTTTCAAGTTTCTTTTTCAGGAATTGTATGAGATGTTTTATAATACAGATTATAATTAAGATGATTTCCTCTACGACAGTTATATGGAGCATAACGTTCAATTAAACCCAAATAAAGATGCACAATAAAATCCAAACATATATGTTGAGAAAGACATTTAATCAAGCAGATATCTCTAAAATATAAATATTAAGATAAACAATGACAGTGTACAGTGGACCCTGTTTAGTGATATGTACTGATATAAACTAATACTACAATATCCTGTCCTTAATATTACATTTTTTTAAGGTTACTGGGAAACAGTAAATGATTTAGCACAATGATAAGAGTATTTCTAACATATAAAATATGCAAGAATAGATGTATTTAGACCAATAATAAATGTATAATGTATATCATAAGTAAAGTGCAGCCATTTGAATCACTTTTTAACTGCAAAATCCAGAAAACATCTCCATAGACATGAATGCTGCCAACATCAGTAGAAATCTGACAACAGAATCCCTTCAGTAAACAGTTTCTAGACCATCAACAACAAAGTACTGAACAAAATGACTTTCTGTAGATGAGTCCGGAACCTATAAGAATACCCAGTCTAGAATATGACTCATCCTTCAAGGATAATATTATATATTTTTTAGTAGATCAAGATTTACCTCATGCGAAAATATAAAATCCAAGCACAGAGATCACAGGTTCTAAGTCATTCACCATTCACCAAAACTTTACAGGCACATCTAAAGTTTACCACTCTTCCTGAAAAAAAATATTCCTACAGAAAGAACGTGAATTGGTGACCACTTGAACCTAGAAAGCATTCCATTCTGATGTCATCACACATATCATTTACAGACCTTGGGCATGACATGTTTTTATGCAGAGTTCCACACAGCAGTGATGACTATGACTTAGAGGGAAAAAAAATGAAAATAAAGTTTGTAATATTAATCCCACTTTTAGTACCCAGCACTTAAATAGGTACAAATATTTAATCATTTTAACACTGTAAACAAAGTTCCTGCTATTGGCAATATGAAGTGGAAACAGCAATAATTAAATTGGAGAGTGTCAGATTATCATCATTCTAGTGTCAGACTTTTTTTCTGATATGTTTTAGCTTTAAGATTATTTATATATCTCAAAGTTTGTTCTTTTTCATTATAGCAAGAATATATACCCTTATCACTCAGTCTAAAACAGCTACCATTCACACCAATACAAAAAATACTCAAAATTTAATTTTTGGTCTTGGTCTGTAATTACAGGAATTTCTCTACAGTTTAGTGTAATTTTTGTTAATATCCTGTCCAAAGCTGTTCTGCACTTGAATTAAAATGTATACACACAATTTGTATCTGGAACAAATTAGGTTTAAAAGTAAGCTTCGCTAATACTAGCAATAAAAATGCTTCTAATATCTGTGTTTCTTGTGTATTTTTTGAGTCTTGACATTCCTTCACTTAACCCTTTCTTCCTTTCCATTGACTGTGGTGCCTTATTGCAATCTCCTCATACCTACTTTGGGTCTGTTTACTACTTACAAAGCCCTGAGCCTGATTTCTCTAGATCCTAGTTTCTCTAGTTCCCTTTAAAATAAATTATTATTCCACAATGCAGAGTATTAAATGGCCAGTATTTACATATGATATTTGTGATTTAAAGAATTTAACACAAGCAGCTTTTGGGGATTAAAGTGTTGGCTGAGTTATTGCAGGATATAAGACTATAGATGTTGGTAGCGAAAAGATAATTTTGGGAAAGTTGAGGAATACACTGATAACAAGAACACTTCCAAATGGGGTTAGGCATACTTTTGATGAAGATGATGAAGTTAACAGACTGTATATTTGCATAGATACTGAAATGAGGATTGTATTTCAGATTTTGTGTAGTTTCTAGCATTGAACTGTGTGTTGGATGCACATGAGTTGAAGGAATGGGCAAACATAGCTGATGCTGATTCACAGAGCCATCATATTAAGATGTTTATATTAAGAAGCAATTTCTTTAAATAACTAACTACAGATGCAGCCATTCAAAATGGGTGGGGTATTTCGCGGCATACCCCGGTGGGCGTGTCGCGGTATCACGCGGTGTCACACGATGTCACGCAGTATCACGCAGTTAATCGCGCGTCATTGACG